CTACCAACTGACAGCATATGCATATAATTCCATATTAGCATTATTAGCTGCTAATTCCATATTCTAGAATCAATTCTAGTTCAATGGCCAAAGGAGATGAGGGGAGGGGAGGGGAGGGGAGGGGGGTTATTTTACTAGTACTGTATTTAGTAAATTAAAGGTCCCTCGATGTCTTTCGTACAAATTTAATATAATATTTACTGGTTTCAGACTAAAGTAAGGCTATGGAGTTCTAATCCATTTGGTCATATTTTTTGATGAACGTTCATACATTAATCTGCTTAGGTAATCCTTACTACTAATGTGTCTCAAATTTCAGATGTGAATGCTACAATGTTTCTATGACTTCACAAAATGTCATCGTACCACAGTTTTACATATTATTTTGTCTAGTTGACATTAAACATTTCAAGCTCTGTGAGGCTAACATTGAACATACAATTTCGTGTGGTTGACATTGACAAACTAGAGTCGTGTGTATACAGTATGAATGAACTGATTATATGGATAAACTAATCTCCTTGTCATGCTTTGTTTTATCTTTCAAGCATATCTTGAAAAAATATTTAAAATTACTGGTAGATTTCATATTCGTTTATTGACCCTGTTTGATTCACTAATTAAAAAAAATATTATCTCCACATAATCCTTGAGCCTATGTAAATCAGTTGTAAATTTAATTAGTTTATCAGTCATTTACAATTCACGTCATTCCAGGTCTTCTCAATTTTGAAGTTGACAAATTTGGTTAATTAATTTCACTCGTGATGAGCTTCATTATGCAGCAAAGTGTGTTGATTGACGATGCTGTATCATTTGCCGGTAAATGGGGTATTTGAAAGTACCCAACGGCAGTACTGGATTGTGATTGGCTGGGCAACTGCCATTGATCACATACTTTGTCATATTTATAGTGATAGTGTTGTGCGATAGGGATTGTGTCAATGTATCCAATACAGCAAAGTCGTGTGGATTAGTCTGTGGAGCACCTTAGCAATCTTGCAGTCTCCCTCAACCTTGATGAAACATTTTTAACACTGATGGCCGATGATTAGAAACAGCCTGATGAACCATGATTAAGGGGTAGGTAACTGTAACGTTGTTGGTAACTTTCCATTCTATTTCTCATTACCTTCTTGCCATGCTCGTCAGTTTGACTGACTGGGTCGTGATCATAGCTTGACTAAGGTTTATTGTTTTGTTTGGAATTTTCTATTGTCAATGGCTACAAAAGACGACAACATGCTTTTCAACATCACACTGCAGGCAACAAGACCACTAGAATGGTAACTTTTATATTCTTTCATTACTTTGATTGACAGCTTGCCAATCAAATTTGTATTTTCTCTCTTGTCTAAGCCTCATTACTAAAACAGACAGCAATAAAATAAACACCACAACTATGATAGGTGATCTATTTATATAAACAGTGATGGTTGAAACGGATTCTTTGTTGTACTTTATATATAGTGTAAATGTATCTTTATCATACCATGCATGTCAGAGGCCCTCCTAAGCAGTTGTTTCACCTGCTCAATTGTGACATATCAGTTTTATTTTTACTACATTGGCATCTTGAGGCATTTTACCCATTTTGTTCTGCCAAGGACATTTTAAAGTTGCGTGCGAAGCCCATCAAGTGTCATTTTAAAGCAAATCTATCACTATTTCAGATAAATTAGTTAAAAATCAGTACTTAGAGTGAAATGTAATTTGTCATCTAATCTCTAGAGGGATTTGTTTTCTATTTGGAACGTCAAGGAGTTAGGACATTGCAATTGTTGTTCGGTTGATTCTATTCTTTTACTATTGAGAAAAATCTTTCGATGAATATGATGAAATTACTGAAAATTTTCATGCATACATGTAGCAATACAGATTTTCAATGCAACCAAGTTGCGGTTATTTATATCCAGTTCAAATTACATTTTGTGTTTACACTTAAATATACTGATACTTACTTGTGAATCTGTATATTATACCTTGTGCAAATTGTTTTTGTTTTATCCATACTGAGAAGCAAAAACATTTTTGAAAATGCTTTTTCCTTTGAGATATTGGTTATCAGATAATGTGTGCAGTGTGCCATAGATCATGGTTCTTGTTAAGTAAAAACAAACGCTATCATTCGATCCAGACTGAATGTCTACTAATGCTAAAATTGTATGAAGAAGTGAACAACTTTATTCCGCCTGAGTGGTCAGCTTCAGTAGACATAGAGAAGTGTGGTTCGTAAGAAATACAATCATGAAATTCAATAAAAGTGAGAGTGGTTTTAAATAACATTGGTTGTGATTGCTCCAGCTTGTCCATATCAATTGTTCCAATGGACTCGATTAGCCAATTTTCGTGTGTACAATATGAAAAGCTACCAATTTGTGTTTTGAATGACGCTGCTTTGTGAGTCGGCTCACTGTCGGTGGGGATTCTGCTGTTTTTCATACAGCGTATGCCGGCCTTTGTGTGGGGACAACAAAAAACTATTACACGCCACTGCATTGTTGGATTTATTCAGCAACTGCATGGACATCATTCAGTTCTGTCTTGCTAGCTGTCATGTGTATAACCAGATCACTATCTGCCGCGTTGAACTAAGTCACCCACACTTTTCACCACATTTTGGGATTGGTTACCGGGTTTCGACTGAATACCATGCTCCCAGTGGCACACCTCTCCTGCAGGTGGGATACCTTCAATGTTTTCCTAAAATTTCCCTTTCCAATCAACTACTTTGTATCTCCCTAGTGAGCATCTCAGTTTTCAATAATTAAGTGTAAACACAATGTTTCTGTTTGGATCTTAATTGTATGAGTAGAAATAGTTCAGTAAGTTATCCTGAGAATCAAATGTAAAATTGTACAAGCAATTTTATGTAAGAATAATGGTTTCTACTTCAGAATTCGTGAAACGGACTGCAACGTTGCCACTTCACTACAGCTTATCCTGTCCATTTTGCAAATGGAAAAGTTAGTAATGGCATAACTACAGTATATTCTCTTACAAGCAATTCATAGTTTAGATGTCTTCTTGTCCACTTCAGTGTCCAAGAGGACCACCTAAGTTTGATTTCTATGTAAATGAGTGATTGACAGGCGTTAGGAATGCTCCATATATGAATGTACAGTATAGCATAAATATTTCTTTTAATTCAGTGCAGTGTGTAGTGTTGTTGTGTTGGTGATTTGGCAAGCATCAATGTTTTCCACTCTTTCAACTAGTGTATTTAAATTGTCACCCCCTGTCATTCACTATACTTGTTAATGGTATATCACAATAAAAAGTAGACCATCAGAGCTTTATTCCCACACCCTGTAAAGCACTCTATTTTACTCCGTTTCCTGTTTTCGTATTTTTCGCTGCATAGATTGCTGTCAGGCATACATTTTTTTTAATCGTTACAACATGCAACATACAAAGTGCGACAGCATGCACGCAGCTGAATTAAATGTCTGTCCCTGTTACAACCGCTCAACGACTCCTTCCCAGAAGATTACCAAGGCATGTGGATACATTAGGATTTATCCCGGGTTATAGTACACTGATGAAGTCCACACTTGTTCAAAAGGCTTACACATTTTGTATTTATTGAAGGCTCACAACATTGTTGTACTTTGAACAGCATTAAAAGTAGGGATAATACTGGAAACAGTAATCCTCTATACTGAACTAAAACACACACAACCATTTGTGTACTTATCTGCTCACCTGGGTTGGTGTAGTGTGACTGGAATTCCAATGAAGGTGATTGAATTTACATATCGTTACTTTGCTCATGCAATTCTGCAACGGATGGTGTCATGTATAGGTTGATTTTAAAAATCTAAAGCATACATATCATGTATGCACGAGCATTTCCTCATGTTTATTGTGTAAATTAAAAGAAAGATGAAACTGGGAAATTAAAATTCTTGTACAGCTGTGGTGTTTTTTCTTTTTTTTTCTTTTTTTTAATAGACTGATATAAAATTACCTGTATCAAGTTAGCCACGTTATGAAAAAGATTGGCAAATATAAACCTTGGTTTATTTATTTTTTTTTCCTCCTGTCAATCTCCATCTAGAAATGGTTGAGGGAAATTAGTTTTAATTTGCATCCCAGAATAAACTGCAGTAGCAGAGGACATCTAGTATTTCTGTAAGAACAAACACTCCCATTTGGCGTCTCCTAGTCTGTTTGTTTTGTTTGCCATTAAATGTTACATGGAAAAGAGCATTTCCTCAGTGACTATTCTTCTATTTACCTTGACTGTACTTGGTTTTTTTTTTTTGGTCAACACATCTGCTTTCCGTTAGCCCTGGTTATTCTTATTCTCATATTTATAACAAAGAGGAAGGAAGATCAATTAAAGTATTCACTATTTGTCCTTCTACTTACGTCTACAAGGGTAAATTTGTCAGCAGAGCAAAACAGCAATTGTTACATGACGAATGAAGGGTTGCGTACTATTTGAAACTAACCAACCTAGGTTGGCGTAACATGGTATTGTTATAAATTATGTCCATAATAATGATAGTTTGTTTTCATTCCCCCTATTGTATCAAGTATTATGGAACAACCCACTCTTTAAAATGATAAGAAATTAACTGATAATATAGGTTAAATTATTAAATAAATAGGTGTGTTGAAAATAATAATTTTGAGTTAAAATGATATTATTTTTATTCATGCAAAAGATAATTAAGTTTTTATTTTTTTTTGTATATATGAGCTACTGGATTGTTACATTATTAGGCATTTGATATTGATACTAAAAATGTTATTGACAAGGTTTTTTTTTTCACTGAAATTCAGCCAATCAACACTTTCATCACTTAATTAATGCAGTACTAACTTTTCATGTGTCATTGATGACAATATGTTGAATCAACATCCAATAACACTTTAAATTTGTTTCTACTATAAATTAGTAAATAATAAAAATTTCACTCTTTCAAGCTGAAAATGTATTAAGGTTATTTAAACTTCATTATCATATTTTATTTAATTTGTTTTTTTTACAGGGCTGCACAAAAATTGAATTTGACTTCCAAAAAAAAGAAGAAACAGACATATCCCCAAGAACCTGTGAATCCAGAGCCCCCGGTTTTCCCAACTAACTTTGGAGATTGTCTCCTGAAAAATTCGCCACCGGCACCACCATGCCTGTTGAGAAGTGGCCGAAGGGAAAATCCAGGAATGGGAAAGGTAAGGCTACTACATCACTTATTTAATGCAATGTGTAATAAAAGAAGAATTGTGGAGGGCCATTATTGGACAAATGTGTCAATATTTTCAATATTAATATTTCACGTTTCCTCACTTTATATTCACAATCGTGTTTCTTGTGTTGAAAATTTCTAAGGGACAAATTGCATTCTGGGATCTAACACATAAATACTACCTAAAGCTTGTTTAATAGGTGAGATCACATGACTTTTTTGGCCAATCATTGTTGTTTAAATGATCACTTCTTTTATCGCGGTGAACATATGAACTAATATGTTTGATTCAGTTTAAAAGAAAACGATACAATAATATGTAAAAATTAATTTTTTTGCCCCCCCCCCCCCTCAATGTTTTGTGCGGCTATCTTTTGAGTGACAGTTTATCAACTAGATATGGCATATACAGCATGGTAACAAGAATGAACTCTGTAATTTAGTTAACTTCTTGGAATTAATTTTGGAACCCATTGGAAAATAAAATTAATAGCTGCAACCGTTTATTGCTCAACGTTTAATTAAATACGTTGCGAGCTAATCTCTTTATCATAGCTGAAATCCAGACAATAACATTGAAATAAAAATATTAGCAAACCAAGGGTGAAACCTTTAGTGAGACTCACTTTCTGAATAATCACGCAACTAAAAGAAATCTTAAATTAAGTTTTTCATCACCGGTGAGATGAGTTGTCATGAATTTTATTGAAAAAATACCTTGGATGTTATTAAAACACTGTCTTGATCTGTAACACCCGCTTTCTCACACTATCTTGCTTCTAATGCATGACTTTCTCTAAACATATTCAGTGTAACAATTAGTTGTTCATAAATGTAAAAAAAAAACACTGGCTTGGCTAGTGTAATAAGGATAAGATTGGGCAACTGATTTGGGAGGTCGAGTTAGTATGAGAACACTGTATCGATAAGTAACTGATTTAGAAGGGCAAGTTCGTATCAGAACAGCAGTAAAATAAATGAGGGATTACTTGTAAAGGAAAACTGACCATGACAACTGATGTCTTTGTGGGCTTGTCATTTTGTCTGTACAAATCTCTTAATCAGATTAACTTGCACAGGTTTTGTATTTGCAATGAGTCTGAGTAGAGCATAAGAACGTAAACGTCCATACACTGTCAACTAAATTGCTCACATAAAAATAAACTAATCTTTCCTTGACTTCCTCATTCAAGTGAATTCAGCGTTACATCATAGCCATGCACAACACAGTCTAACAGTGACATTCTTTCATCTCTTTAATAAATGTGTGTGACAGTCCTATTCATACAAGCGTTGCTTTGATTTACCACCCCTACAGATTCAGCTCAACTATTTTCCTCTAGAGAATTAACAACAACCAAAAAGCCAAAATTAGGCCTACCACAAATTTAAATTTTTCAAACCATGAGCCCCTCTCATAAAATTCTGGATTTGTACATTTCAGCAAGAGCTGCAAGTTTATCCAATACTACTGGTAATAATTAATTTGAAATCAGAGGAAACCCTCTAAATCATTAGAGAACGTGACTGGAAGATAATTCTGTATTTTCTCACTCTGCATAATTGTGTGCATTTCCAGAGCAACAGAGCAATAATTAGATTGCTAAAACTGTTATAGGAGTGATGGCCTCGATTAAATGTTGGAAATTTCACTAGCATGGAAAATAAATCTATCAGTATGAAAGAATTCTTTTTATTTTGTTATTTTTTCGCTTCAGGAGTAACTTGTTGCAATGAATTGGCTTGATCTGTTTTTCTTAACACAAGTACCAATAACCTATCTGTATGCAGGCTGAGAGAATTTTCCCCCTTTTCTGTTAGTGAATTGACTGACACCTTTATTCCATTCACTAGAAACTGATCAAGCTTTTGTCAGGCTTCAAAGATTATCCGAGGAAAAGAAAAAGGTAGCATAAACAATGTTGCCTGCATTTATACCAACCATTTCATGTAACTTTCTTGCTTGACAAAATCCATAGCCGATCACAAATTGAATTTCCACTGTCCCTTTCATGGGAATTTTCGTGGTGTACTATCCAAATCTCCAACCATGATGCATTGCAAGTGCCTAGGTAGAAGCACCCAGATTAATTGCCATTTCAAAAGCACTAAATTCATAACCACGTAGTAAATATTTTCACTGCAGTAGTTGCTAAAGGGGAATACCGGTGAACAGAGTCCTGTCACATATTGATGTCAGATCTGCCAATAAGCTTTTATGTGGATTAGTACCCCTCCCTATCCCTCCCCTAAAGCTTGATCTTTTTATGGCCTTTCTTTTAAATTTTCCACCCTTGTGTGCTTCAATGAGTGGCTGTAATTATGCTCAGTTTGTTTCTTTTCACACTTTCATTAGATGGAAAGTTGATTGCCCAGCTAAAGCATTTTACCCTGTATCCATATGTCATTCATGAGTTGGGGCACGTGAAAGGTCCTATTATACTTGTTGTTCCAGATCAATTGAATCTGTTATAGAAACAGTTTCAAAGGCTCTAGAGGGAACCAGAGTGCAAAAAAAAAACCTAAACATTTCAGCTTCATCCCCTACTGGTATTTAGTTTCATACTGGTGGCTATGAATACATTCTTGCTAAGCCCCCAATGATTGACATTTACAATCTTGACCCACCTCCCATCTCCTACTGTTTACCCCTTGACACATTAAAGGTCTAATCGTTTTCTCTGCCTCAGCAGTAAAGCATTTTACTCCTTTGCTTAAAACAGATTGACATGCCTTAATTATTGAATGAAGGCAGAGTAGTAGATATATCTAAAAATATCAAAGTGTGACCAAATCAAATTTATTGTGTGATTAAAAATGACATGTAAAAGGCAACTGTAAATTGATAGAGATAACCACATAAAAAGAAACAACATCACCTGTGAAGAGAATTTCAATGCCAGATAAAAAAAAAAAAAAAATACTGAGTACTTCAGAATTCCTGTAGATAGTGAAATCATCAGGCCAGGCATTCTTTCTTTTATTGGATGTTCAAAGTGAATGTAAAAGCTTTTATTCCACGTACAATTCTGATAATTCAATTATTCAACGAAAAGAGAGGCTTAAAAGTCCACGAGCATGACAGAGCATTATCAGTTGCAGTTGCAGCATCACTGTATGATTTTAACCACATTTCATTTCAGCAGCTAACACCTTTTTACCATCACCTTCCTGCATCCTTCAAGGACCCTAATTATCTTTAATTGGCGATAATTACCTATTCAAAAATCAATTACAGAAGTTTGAAAGGTTTAAGTTTACAGGAAATACATTTTACAAATAACTAAACAAAATGTAGCATTCACAAGGCATTTGAAAAGGAATAGATTTTCTTGAGAAGTTTTCCCAATGACAATTTTGAGAAGTCAAGCTATGCTGCATACAAATTTTTCCAATTGCAAATTATAGCTAATGCAATCACCCAGGGTAGCTTGGATGGAGAAAATTGCTGAAATTGGTCAATCAACTCAATTTTCCGTAATTTCACTCTATTTGCTGAAACTGACATTTATATGTGCACGCCATTCTTAAACTACATTACTGTGATGTATACTTTAGAAGGCGCCAGTTTATACGAGTCGTCAAAAAAACATTCACAGTCTTGATCTCTCCCGGCGTATCAATATAGGCAATTTAGTGAAAGCATTTCATTTTGTGGAACTACTCCATCATGAATTATATAAATCTATGTAGAATGCCAGTTATAATTGTATTACAATGGACGAAGCAATTGACTCAGGCCTCAGAACTCTGCCACAGTTGATTCTGTATCACCTATTGTGTAAACAAATGACACTTAGATATATAGGCACAGTAATATATACATAGTAAACAGTGGAAAATGAAAGTGGTTGGCTCCCCTTCATTTCTTGGATAAACACTGCAACAATCCCAATATTACCTCCACCCAGGCAGTGAATTGGAATATGAAATATAAATTCTTCTGATGGAGAATCAACCATTCAATTTATAGGGGTGTACTGCATCATTGTGCAGTACAAATAATAGCAGCTTTTTTGTTTAATATTTTGTAGTTATGGAAACTAGAATTACGCAAGCTGTTTCCTGTTAAATCTAATCTGCCAGTTAGTCATTATTGCTTTATTTGTCCACTCTTCCAAGAACCAAACTGGTTGACCCCTAAACTATTCTGTAATGAAGGGCATGATTTTATATAAAAATTAGCAATTACGTCAATCAATCATATGGCTCGTTATTTTTGAGAGTCTTTGTTGAGGAATGTTGGTTTAAAATGCTTTTAATGACAACCAGGAGTGCAGACAGTTGTAATAATAGCGACAGTTAATGGAAAAATCTCCAATGTTTTCAAACATTAGTGTAAATAGCAGTTGTTACATTGGGGGTAACAATACAATGGGAGCATTCCTAATGAGTCATACCGGTATTAAAATGTCCAGTGTGTGCAAAGCACAACCGGGAGGCAGTGTCGCGCCAATTTCTGTCTGTCTGTGTCAAATCGTGTTTTACTGATGTTTCAAGAACTACAGCCTGCATTGAATGAAACTTGATGCAGAAATACTATGTCATGATTAGATATTGTTACAAATCCATGCTTGTCAATTAGGAAATTTACATAATAATCAGTTTTAGCTTATTTTTTGTGTATCTTTGCATCTGTTTTTTCCAAATGGTACATGTCTACTATTTGTGTAATAACAGCTTGTATATTTGTGCATGTTTATTAGCTAATTTGCATACTAATTACATGTAGCTATTTCTTTTTTGCAGTACAAACAAAATTGGTTATTTTTGGAAAAAAAAAACAATAATAGGAAACATGCCTGAACCAAAAACAGATCTGAAAAAAAAAATCAGTTTTGAATTAATTATCTCAATTAAATAACACACTGGAGCACTTTCAGTTCATGTCTGCTAAACTGTTGCAAAGCAATTACTGTATTTCAAAAAAAAAAGAAAAAAAGGTTGTCATCAATTTGCTGATATATTCACCCTCTTGAATAAATA